TCTATCTATTTATCTATCTATCTGTCTATCTATCTCTGTCTGTCTGTTTGTCTATCTATCTATCTATCTATCTATTTATCTATCTATCTATCTATCTATCTATTCCACGCTTAAGCAATTAAATAGCGTTGATATGAGCGTTAAATATAATAATAAATACTCCTCTTACTTATATACCAGGTGACCCAAATATACCTTTACCAACGGAAATACCAAGAGAAACGGCTAAAACAGAGATAGAAACACAGGATGTTACAGAAGTACTCGGTCACCATCTGGAGTTATTGTGACAAATTGACAAAGGAAAATTCCAAGTTTGAAGGAAGTCAGAGCACATGATCTATGTGACGTCTGTTTTGGGCGATACACGATCTGAGACGTTTTGACATTTTCCATATTATGCTCCACGGGACTGACTTTGACACTGGAGGTGACAGAGTCTCTCAGCTGCTTGGGGGGAGGGGGGAGTTTTTGCCACATATTTTGTTTTGGTTTAGTTTACTGGAGTTTTTACGACGCTCACAACTGCAGAGAAGTCCAAACGGGGAATCAGGCTATCTCTGCTCACCTCTCTAGCCTCAACAGAACAAAGTCTGCTTCGACTATCAAGGCACCCCGGAAATAGCGGGTCACAAGTGACAAACATACTAAAGAAGTAGAGGAAAAAATGACGATAGTAAGGATGAGGAAAGAAAAAGCAGCAGTTCCCCTTATGTTGTTCCGGCACAGTATGAGCAGGACGTTGATAAATCAGCCCGTTGACAATTCCACTGTGCATAAGAACATGTTGATATCCTCCCTTTTAAGAATAACCGAAAGACACTTCAGTCAGTTGCACTGCCCGGGGGGTTTCAATATTTTGTCTTCTAAGTACATTTACCCTCACAGGAGGAAATCTAGAAGGTTGAGATCACGACTGTGAGAAGCCCAGGAGTTCACTGAGCCACGACTGATAAGTCTCTCGTCAAAATGGTTCCTCAACCACTGAAGGACTGTCCTCGCCGTGAGTGGGACAGTGCCATCTTGCATGAGATACTGTCCTCACCGTGTGTGGGACAGCACCATCTTGTATGAGATACTGTCCTCGCCGTGTGTGGGACAGCACCATCTTGTATGAGATACTGTCCTCGCTGTGTGTGGGACAGCATCATCTTGTATGAGATACTGTCCTCGCCGTGTGTGGGACAGCACCATCTTGCATGAGATACTGTCCTCGCCGTGTGTGGGACAGCACCATCTTGCATGAGATACTGTCCTCGCCGTGAGTGGGACAGCACCATCTTGTATGAGATACTGCTCTGCTCACTCCGCTCTCACTTCCATTAAGGGCTGGTGGGGCACCTGAGCTATATTTTGGCAATTACGCGGCCTAGAGTGCCCATATTTGCTGTGGGACATCGTGTGTTATTGGCCATTTGAAATCAATAGTTCAAAAAGTATATTGTGAATCGGTTGCTATGGAAACGGCGTCCATATTTTATTCCCTTTTTCAATTAACTGATTCACTTCTAATTTGGCATGGGAACAGTAAATATGTAGCTCTTAAATTTGGCCTGTTGCATGTTTGATATATACCTAAACGTTTTTTAATTTTCTGACACTTACAATTGGGTTGTTGCAATAAAAAGTGGGGAAAAAAGGAAAAGTCATGCTTTCTAAGTCCATAAATCAAAAACTACTCCGTTAATCAAAAATTCAACAAGCCAGAATTTAAAACTAGATGTTGTTGGTATCTTGTGAAACTTACATTGAAACTGAAAAAGAAATAGAGCAGAAAATGGGAAAATGTGTGAAAAAATAGAATTGTGAGAAAACAGCCGATAAAGGCAAGAAAAGGCTGGGACACATGACGTGTGCTGTCGCTGAAATATAAGGGGAAAAAACACAGATTTAGGGTGTAGAAAGACTTACATACGTTTCTGATATTGTTCAGGAAATGTCCAGGTACTATAATATGTAATAACCCCTATTTGCATAATTTGACCCCAAAACACGATGTCTAGGTGCCCCAGCAGCCCTTAAGACCAACCTCCCCAGACCTCTCCAAACCCTGGTCAACATGTTGAGGTAACGGTCGCAGGTGACCCCCATCGTGTCTCCATCCCCGTCCATGAAGAAATATGGGACAATGATGGTCTGGTAGCTCATGGCAATCCAGGCAGAGACTTTCCAGTGGTGGAGATCTCGTCCGTACACTTCGTCAATCTCTCCAGAACCCCAGAATAAGATGTGAGTGTTGTTATGAACATGTCCGTTCAGGTAAAAGTGTGCCTCATCACTTAGCCATATCGCGACCTCAGTGCTTTCTTGTCGCATCTCTGTTTTTAAAACAGTGAAAACAGTTTATAACAAAGAGTGAGCCTAAGCAAAAGTCACGTTTTCACTGTTACCAAAAGTAGAGATACGGTAAGAAAGCACTGAGGTTGCGATATTCTGCCCAGCAAAGTCCCGTCGTCCTCAATCTCCTGAAGCAACCACCTGCACATTGCCACTCGGTCTGCTACACTCACGTCACTGACCCTTTGGTGTGCCCGGATCTTGTACGGTGCGTGGACTTCAGACCGTACTTCAACATGCACCCAACAGATTCTCTAGCACAAGCAGTAGTAATTACTTCAGTACTATGACGACAAACTGACTTTTTAGGTTCTTCGCTCACAGACTCCGTCACCACTGCCACATTCTCAGCAGTGCACACTTGCACCGGTCTCCCACTGTGGGGGACCCTAGTTTTTCATCTCTTGTTTTTATTTTCAGCAGAGCCATGTGACTGGAAGCCATCCACCCACTTCAGTATTGTTACTTTAGTTGGTACATTCTTACGGTCTTTGGTGTTAATTCCAAACCGTTTACAGAAGCGATTCCGTGTCTGCAGAGGGGATTTTATTTCGATATTTTGACAAATAAAATCATGTTTCAGCCATCAAAACACGTTGCTCAACAGTGGACTGTATCCCCGGAGTAGCCGTAGCTGTTTCCAAGGTACTGTTGTTTGTAGGACGTGGGTCTCCTTCCGGATGGTTCAGTTTGAGTCCTGTCAATGTCTGTGGGAACTGGACACTTTGGTGGAGAGTTATAGCTTCCCGCGGGTAAAGGTTTTTTGGGTGTCAGAAGGTATATTAGAGAATACAGAAAAGTAATC